GAGCAACTGCATTTGCTGCCCCCCAAGTTATGCCACTGATCACACCATGGGAGGTAAGCTTAGATTGGATTGTCAAATTTAACTATTGTTTGTCTTGATATTACAATGATGATGTTATAAAAATGAAAGTTTATGCTGTAGCCATAGATTCCTTGAATTTTGACCCTACCATCTGTGGGCCTCAACAGAAACCAAGATCCATTAGACTAGTCTACATTTCTCCAGTCTTCAACTGTCTAGTTTTGGCGACACTGTGTCCACTTCAGTCTCAGCTTTCTATTATTGGAGTGAAATCTGATGTGGCCTTCTACTGTTGTAGCCCATCAGCCCCAAGGTTGATATGCTGTGCATTTTGTTATGCATATCTGCCCGGCATAGTTGTAAAGAGTAACTATCTGAGTTATGAGAGCCTTTATGTCAGCTTAAACCAGTCTGGCCATTCTCCTCTGACCTCTCATCAACAAGGCATTTCCATCCACAGAAATGCTTTGGGATGTATTTTGGAGTTTGTTTTTTTTTTTGGCGCTATTCTGAATCGTTCTGCCTGAAAATCCCAGGAGATCAGCCACTCTTCCCATGTATCCGCACATCCAGCAATCGCCTTTGGCTACAGACAGATGATCAGTTCTGGACAAAATCTATCTGCACTGAAGGTAAAAAAAAAGGACACTGGTAAGTTACTGTCCAACAATTTCATTATTTATGAATTTCAAATAATATTTAAATGGTATTTCAATTTTAAAAGCTGTTTTTATTTATTTTTTTTTAAAATCTGCAGCTTTCATTTAAAGAATACCTGGTGATCCTACCACGAACGTCCTTGTTTAGATACTTCCTGTTATGGGGTGATCTGTTTGAAATGCCACTTTATGCATTGGCATACCGCCACAAATCCAGTTTGGCTGGACAGTGTGGTCACTTGTTGACTTGACACCATGCACAGGCAGCTTAACTCTATAATAAAACACAGACGTTAAATCCAATGGAATTTTACTTTGGAAAAGTGCAATACAGAAGTTTTTTTTTTTTTTTTTTCATTTTTTTGAAGTGTAATAAGACAATGACTTTCCTAAGTTCCAGTCTCTGTGAAGAACAGTCACTGACTGAAGGAACATGGAAGAAACCAAAAGGGTTTAGCTAGGACTGAACTAACTAGCACTAAGCTGCAGAGGGAGATACCACATTTTACATAAATATATATATATATATATATATATATATATGCTGTAGTGGCCCTAAACAGCATATTACAGAACAATAGTAACCTGATACAGTTCAATACAACAGCAGAAAAAAATACTCTCATATGGGACAGAACATGGGGTAACAAATATCTCCCAATTATAATTGTAGCCATTTTTCCATTAACATTTGTATAGTGTAGTTGATACAGTAGTAAATTTGGAAGTGTTTTTTTTTTACATTTTGACATTTATAAGTATAGAGACAAGCAGCCACGTCGACATTCGTGTACTGTGTGATGTTCCTTTTTTCAGTGGAATAAAGGACACTAAGGGACCCTAGGGTCATCAGCTCCATCTAGTGTCCATAATGCAGTATTTTCCTGATTGAGGTATTTCATGAAAATGATACATTATGGTCACAAGATGGAGCTGATGATCTGTGTAAAAAAACATATTGGAGAAATTATGGGGATTATGGGCAATTATTTTTTATAAATAGACTCCTTTGAGTATTAAACTTGACATTAAATGATCAGTTTTCACTTTTGGCAGTTGAGTATGCAGACTCTTTATTTTTAATTCCTGCTTATGTTCCAGTTTAAGCTGGTACCATGATCACTGCCCCGGGTTTCCTGTTTCAGGGTAGCATACTATGGAGCCACCCTTACATGCAGGAACTACTACAGCTCTTTATACTATATGCATCAATAGAAACACAAAGCACCATAGTTCAAGTTCAGGGAAGCAGCGCTGAGAGCGCAAGAGCCAACAGCATTGAGAGTTGTAAACTGCAAGTGCTGGGGTAAGAATTTTAACACATAATCTAATGGGGAATGTTTTTTTATTATGATCAAAAAATGTAAAAATGCTGGGGGTTTAATATCACTTCAAGGAGTGATGCGCTTTTGGGTTTTACTACATTATATGGTGGATGCTGCTAGTGATGAGCACCCTACTAAAATGTGTATTTGGGAATAATATGTATATATGGGCAGCACAGTGGCTAAATGGTTAGAACTTCTGCCTAGCAGTACTAAGGTTGTTGGTTAGAATCCCAACCATGGCACCACCTGCCTGGAGTTTGTATGTTATCCCTGTGTGGGTTTCCTCCAGGTACTCTGGTTTCCTCCCACACTCCAAAGACATGCTGATAGGTGGATTGGTTCCTGTCTAAATTGACCCTAGTATGAGAATGTTAATTAGGGACCTTAGATTGTACACCCCTTGAGGGTTAGGGACTGATGTGAATGTACAATATATTTGTAAAGAGCTGCGTAAAATTGATGGCGCTATATAAGTACCGGAAATAAATAATATATATACACACTATATTGCCAAAAGTATTGGTCGGCCGGCCGGCCTTTACACACACATGAACTTTAATGGCATCCCAGTCTTAGTCCATAGGGTTCAATATTAAGTTGGCCCCCCCGTTTGCAGCTATAACAGCTTCAACTCTTCTGGGAAGGCTGTCCACAAGGTTTAGGAGTGTGTCTATGGGAAGGTTTGACCATTCTTCCAGAAGCACATTTGTGAGGTCAGGCACTGATGTCAGACGAGAAGATCTGGCTCGCAGTCTCCACTCTAAATTATCCCAAAGGTGTTCTATGGGTTGAGGTCAGGACTCTGTTCAGGCCAGTCAAGTTCCTCCACCCCAAACTGGCTCCTCCATATCTTTATGGTCCTCGCTTTGTGCACTGGTGTGCAGTTATGTTGGAACAGGAAGGGACCATCCCCAAACTCTTCCCACAAGGTTGGGAGCATGAAATTGTCCAAAATATCTTGGTATGCTGACACCTTAAGAGTTCCTTTCACTGGAACTAAGGGGCCAAGCCCAACCCCTGAAAAACAAATCCACACCATAACCCCCCCTCCACCAAACTTTACACTGGGCACAATGCTGTCAGGCAAGTACCGTTCCCCTGGCAACCGCCAAACCCAGTCAGGTCTATCGGATTGCCAGACAGAGAAGCATGATTCTTCACTCCAGAGAACACATCATCACTGCTCTAGAGTCCAGTAGCGGCGAGCTTTACACCACTGCATCTGACCCTTTGCATTGCACTTGGTCATGTAAGGGTTGGATGCAGCTGCTCAGCCATGGAAACCCATTCCATGAAGCTCTCTATGCACTGTTGTTGTGCTAATCTGAAAGCCACATGAAGTTTGGAGGTCTTTAGCTATTGACTCTGCAGACAGTTGGTGACTTCTACGCACTTCAGCATGCACTGACCCCACTCTGTCATTTTACATGGCCTACCACTTGGTGGCTGAGTTGCTGTTGTTCCCAGTTGCTTCCACTTTGTTATAATACCACTAACAGTTGACCGTGGAATATTTAGTAGCCAGGAAATGTCATGGATGGACTTATTACACAGGTGGCAACCTATCACGGTACCACGCTTGAATTCACTGAGCTCCTGAGAGCGACCCATTCTTTCACAAATGTTTGTAGAAGCAGTCTGCATGACTAGGGGCTTGATTTTATACAACTGTGGTCATGGAGGTGATTGGAACACCTGAATCCAATGATTTGGAGGGCTGTCCCAATACTTTTGGCAATATAGTGTATATACAGTATATATATACATATATATATATATATATATATATATAGTGTGTATGTTTCTAAAGTACTTTTGCTTGGTTTTGTTTTTCCAGTTGATCGGGTCTTTTGTTTCTTTATAGCCTGCTGACAGATCAGATTTCAGGCGTAGATCCACACTTGTGTATATTGGAATGAATGTATGTATAAGCATGCATATATAGAACACGGGTACTCATGTCGCAATATCTCCTCCATAGGTATGTGTTTCAACAGATCACACCCTGTTAAACTATCTCAAACTTACACATAATAATATAGTAGTGATCAAAAGAATTTGTAAACGAGTCAGTATATGATCTACGAGCTTGATGATCTCAGATATTTCACAGTAGCAAGTGAAACCAACCAGTGAGTTACTAAAGCATTCCAGCAAACACAGCAGCTGTGCTTAAAGGTAAACTAATAATGGGTTGAGGTCATTTTCATTATTCAGCATCTCAGAATTTTGGGAGTATTGAACTCCTCTGAGTTCTTTACTTCCTTTCTCCAACCCCTACTGAACACAATAGTGACGTAGTGACCCAGAGGAATGAACCACATACAGGGGTGGACTGACCATTTGGAAACACGGGCACTGCCCGAGGGCCTGGGGTCAGTAGGGGGCCCCATGAGATGCCCCTGGTACCTTTTTCATAGGCTTTTTTTAGTTTGGGCAAGGACACAGGGGCCCCATGATCCCCTATTGCCCGGGGGCCCCATGAGTTGTCAGTCTGCCCCTAACCACATAGGAGCTTAGAAAGTTTTACCTCTAAAAAAAGCAGACATTTAAAGAGTTGGGGTTCTGGGATGAACACAAAACAAGATTCTAATCGTCAAAGTGTTTCTAAACTGAAAAACAACAAAGAAAAAAGTTATATAAATATTGTAGCTTGTCAGTCCTTAAATCGATTCTAAAGGTTAATTTTTTTTTTTGTAAAATAACAGCCATGTCTATACTTACCTGCTGTGTGTAGTGGTTTTGCTCAGAGCAGCCTGGATCCACCTCTTCTCTGAACCTCCACAGGCTCTTCTGGCTCCTCCTTTCTGCCGGGTGCCCCCACAGCAAACAGCTTACTATGGGGGCGCCAGCTGCTCTGTGTGTCCATTCTCCCAAGGAGCTGAGGCTTGGCCCTGCTCTCTCTCTCTCCTCATTGGCTGACTGGCTGTGATTAACAGCAGCGGGAGCCAATGCCTCCCACTTATTCTCTCAGCCAATGAGGAGACAGAGACCCAAGGCTGTCATTCACATCACTGGATCACAATGAGGTTCAGGCAGGGGCAGACTGACCATTTGGAAACTCGGGCACTGCTCAAGTGCCCGGGGTCAGTAGGGGGCCCCATGAGATGCCCCATGGTACCTTTTTCATAGGCTTTTTTGAGTTTGGGCAAGGACACAGGGGCCCCATGATCCCCTATTTCCCGGGGGCCCCATGAGTTGTCAGTCCGCCCCTGGGACAAGGTAAGTATTGAGGGGGCTGGGGGGCTGCTGCACACAGAAGGTTTTTTACTTTCATGCATAGAATGCATGAAGGTAAAAAACCTTCAGCCCTTACAACCACTTACAATGTGGTGACTCATTAGTTTTCTTTTTTTAGACGTATTTCCTTTATTTTTACCTTGTGATCCTGGTAAAACACTTTCAGTCTTAGGATTGCAACACTTTCTATCGAAGATAGATCGAAAACGCACTATGGAACATTGTTCTTCTTCTATTGTCCATGGCATAGAGGGGAGTGGCCTTGAAGTCCTTAAAGAACCATGAAATGAATAAAAGCCAGCGCATGCAGAGAGCGCAGGAACTTATCAAATCACAAGATTTCCCTTTAAAACTAAAGGTATTTTTTTGAACAGCTCAAAAAAGATAACAATGCATATTTAAATCAGTTGTTAGGATTTTAACAAGCATATTATTCATATCTGTGCACAGAGCAGCCCCGTGCCTCCTCTTCTTGGTTCCTCTTCCAGCGCTCCTTTGCTTGGTGCGCCCCAGTAGGAAGCCACTTCATATGATGGCACACTTGCAAGCTCACTCCTGAGGTAGGCTGTGTGCATCAACTGACACACACAGTACGGATTGGTTCCGCCCCCCTCCCCCACAAACACTGCCTCTTCACACCATTTGATTGACAGTAGTGGGAGCCATTGGCTTTGAGCTGTGAGATGGGAAAGAGAGCACCAGTGCTGCTGCAGACAGGCAAAGCGCTGGTTCGATACAGGACTCAAGTCAGTATTTAGGAAGGGGGTTGAGGGGAACAACTAGTGGAAGGTTTTTTTACCCTAATGCAATTAAGGAAAAACGCTACTTTCCTAAAGTAGAGTGCATGGATACACAGGTTATCACTATTTAGATACTAAGAGCAAATGCTGATAACACAGAGGACATCCACACTGATATTCAAGGCACTGATGATCAGTGCCCTGATCATCAGTGCCGCCCCTTAGTGCGCAGCAGTGCCACCCATCAGTGCTGCCCATCAATGCCACCCAGCAGTGCTGCCAGTCAGTGCCGTTAGTCAACGCCGCCGGTCAGTTCTGTCAGTCAGTGCCGCCGTCAGTCACTACCGCCCATCAATGCCCATAAGTGCTGCCTATCAGTGCCCATCTGTGCCGCCTGTCAGTGCCCATCAGTGCTGCCTATCAGTGCAGCATCATCAGTGCCTCCTTATCAATGCACACCAGTGCCACCTCATCAGTGCAGCCTATCAGTGCCTCCTATCCATGCCACCTCATCAGTACCCATCAGTGCTGCCTATCAGTGCAGCCTCATCAACGCACATCAGTGAAAAAGAAAAATTACCTGTGTGCAAAATTTTATAATAGAAAAACCTTTTTTTCAAATGTTTTGCTCTTTTTTTTTTGTTTAAAGTGCAAAAAATAAAAACCCCAGTGGCGATTAAATACCACCAAAACAAAGCTCTATTTGTGGGAAAATAAATGATAAAAATGTCATATGGGCACAGTGTCATTCAACGTGCAATAGCACTGAAAGCTGAAAATTGGCCAGGGTACGAGGGGGTAAAAGTGCCTGGTAGGCAAGTGGTTAAAAAAACGTGTGCATGAGCTCTAATGAACAAAAAGGGATCGTATAAGAAAAGTTCAGTGCTAGGATTTACATATACTTTAGGCATTATTATTGTACCAGTAAATCTACAACAAAAATGACCTTACTGAAAATGTTATTAACCCCTTCACGCCGAGCGTACGCAAATATGTGGCCTCTTGGCGGCTGGGCCTTATCGCTGAGTGGCAGAATATTTGCGTACCGTTTGTAAACAAACATGGGGCTGTCTTTCCAGCCCCAGATCCAATCGCTGACAAATTCATGCAGACTCCACCTCCGCAACATCTCCAAAATACGCACGTTCCTAACTCCTGAAACTACAAAGCAACTCATTCACTCCCTTATCATCTCCCGACTTGACTACTGTAACTCCCTCCTCGCCGGCCTACCCAAAACACAGGCTATCCCTGCTTCAGTCTATCCCAGGGGTGGACTGACCATTTGGAAACTCGGGCACTGCCCAAGGGCCCAGGGTCAGTAGGGGACCCCATGAGATGCCCCTGGTACCTTTTTCATAGGCTTCTTTGAGTTTGGGCAAGGACCCAGGGGCCCCATGATCCCCTATTGCCCGGGGGCCCCATGAGTTGTCAGTCCACCCCTGGTCTATCCTGAATTCTGAAGCCAGACTCATCCACCTTACCAACTGCTCCGTATCCGCCACCCCCCTCTGCCAATCCCTCCACTGGCTTCCGATTGCCCAATGGATAAAATTCAAAATATTAACATTGACGTACAAAGCTGTTCATAACACTGCCCCAAACTATATCACCGACCTGATATCCATCTACCACCCAAAACGCACTCTCCGGTCCTCACAAGACCTCCTACTCTCCAGTTCCCTGGTCTCCTCCTCCCATGCCCATCTCCAGGACTTCTCCAGGGCTTCACCCATCCTCTGGAACTCACTACCCCAATCCATCAGACTGTCACCTTCCCTCCTCACCTTTAGGCGCACCCTGAAAACCCATCTCTTCAGAGAAGCCTACCCCGCCCTCACCTAACTGCTGATCTCCTCCGCTCTTCCCACCACTCCAACCCCCACAGCTATTTCCTCCTGTACCACTCTCCCCTCCCTCCTAGATTGTAAGCTCCATGGAGCAGGGTCCTCGAACCCCTTGTGTATTGTATTGTATTGTTACAGTACTGTACTGTCTTGTGTACTGTCTCCCAATATAATGTACAGCGCTGAGCAAACCGTTGGTGCTATATAAATACTGTATAATAATAATAATAATAATAAATGTGCTGAGAGCACACGCTCTGCGCGGTCCCAGAACATGTATCCATGTCCCACGGAAAGGTCCCGATCTCTTCTTGTGATCAGGACATCTTCCGATCATGTGACCGCCGTGACAGCCAATCATGGCGGTCACATGACCCTAAACCCTGCCCGGCCACAGAAACCCCTTAAAGGGCTGGGAGGCGCCAAGCGCAAAGGGGTTACACAGGTTTTCCAATTTATTTTAAAAAAAGGAGACGTTCCGCATTAAGCCTTTGTCCCCCACTCCCCATTAAGGATTGGCCCCTTTGGGGAGCGGGGGGGAGCGAGTATTTGACAGGTACCTGCTCCCCGGTGTTATCACCTAAGGCAATCAGAAGTTGTCCTCCCCCTCCCTCCCCATAGTCTTCTTGGACACGTGACAGGTCCCAGAAGTCTACGGGACCATTTACAAAGTGCAGCGCTTCTTGTGCATGCGCAGTGGGAACCTGGCTGTGAAGCTGCAAGCTGTCCTGGCCAGGTGCCCACACTGAAGAAGCCGGCGCCATGGTGAGGACACTGCGGGATTGAGGGACAGGTAAGTGTCTATATTAAAAGTTAGCAGCTACAGATTTTGTAGCTGTTGACTTTTATTTTTTTTTATTCAATTGGAACTTCACTTTAGTCATCTTTCAGTGTGTGTCAATTATGTAAAAATGTTTTAAATGTACGAAAAGTAATGCAAAAGTGGGAAAAACCTTTTTATTAACTTACATAAGTTTCACAAGTTTGTAGAGTAACTCTTCCTCTATAGTAACTCTTCTGATTTTTCTTTTTCATTGCAGGTAAATAATAGATTCCAAGCAGAAGCAATGTGCTGTCACTGAGGTCTTGATGAAGAAGGGGGTGCAAGCTGTCCAACACCCATAGAAAGCTACGTAATGTTTATGGAGGTGGCACCATTGACAAGAGTCATGAATGACAAGACATTGTTCATGGCAATGGTGTAATTTATATAAACATTCTGTTGCCTTCTGTGGATGTCAGACAGCCTGCACCCCTCCTTAATCAAGAACTCAATGATAATAAGTTGCTTCTGCTTATAATGCTTTACCTGCAATGAAAAATAAGAAGTAAAGTTACTAGAGTGGAAGAGTTACTCTACTAACATGTAACATCTGAACTACCTATTAATGTTAATAAATATATTCTGCCCACTTTTGCATGATGTTTGGTACATATTTGTTTAACCACTTCAATACCGGGCACTTTCACCCCCTTCCTGCCCACACTTTGAATGCCAATTGCGCAGTCATGCAACACTGTACCCAAATTAATATTTTATCATTTTCTCACACAAATAGAGCTTTATTTTGGTGGTATTTAATCACCATTGTTATCTTTTGCTAAACAAATGATATTGACTGAAAATTTATGGGAAAAACAATGTTTTTTAGTTTCTGTTATGAATTTAGCAAATTAGTATTTTTCTTCTTCATAATTTGTGCTGATGAGTCTACACTAATGGCCACTGATAGACGGCACTAATGGGCACTGATATGTGGCACTAATGGCCACCGATAGGCAGAACTGATGGGCACTGATAGGTGACACTGATAGGGGGCACTGATGAGGAGGCAATGATAGGCAGCACTGATGGGCACTGATAGGTGACACTGATAGGGGGCACTGATGAGGAGGCAATGATAGGCGGCACTAATGATGGGCACTGATATGCGGCACTAATGGCCACCGATAGGCAGAACTGATGGGCACTGATAGGTGACACTGATAGGGGGCACTGATGAGGAGGCAATGATAGGCAGCACTGATGGGCACTGATAGGTGACACTGATAGGGGGCACTGATGAGGAGGCACTGATAGGCAGCACTGCTGGGCAATGATGGGCAGCACTAATGGGCAATGATTGGCAGCACTGATGAGGCTGCACTGATAATCAAATAATAATGTATCTGTGAACATGCCCCTGTCACACTTGTCAGTTACTGGCTCTCCTCTTCTCACACTAACAGTGCGTGAGGAAAGCACTGCTGATAAATAGCAAGAGTGTTTACATTGTGATCAGCTGTGATTGGAGACAGCTGATCACATGTTAAAGGCTCACTGTGATTGGCCTTTTACCTCAATCTGTGATCAAAGATTGCCAGAAGTGGGCCACAGGGGGCGCGCAAGGGGCATGGTTCCAGGAGGACGTCCATGGATGCCCTCCCAGAACCACAAAGCCATGCTGTAGCTGTATTTCAGTTATAGCGCAGTAAGGAAGTGGTTAAAGGGAAAATATAATAGTTTTTATTCAACTCAAGTTTTTCGTTTGCTAGTTTGCAAACTAACATAACATTTTTAGTTGTTGTTATGACAAATAAATATTCCAACCCTGAGACAACTTTGACACTCCCTGATTGCTGTGACCTGACATTAGGGCTCCTAGGTACAGGAAGCACAAATGTATCACTCTTTTTTGAGTTATTCAGTATGTTCTTGATTTGAGTCTTAATTATAATAAACATAATTTAAATATAAACCAAATAAGTACATTCTCTTTAATTGTATAATCATGGGAGGAATCCATATTTGCCAAATATGTGCTGCATTTCCTTCTCGTAATTATTTATTTATTACAGTTAGTAATTAAAGCTGGCTATACAGTACACCAGTAGAATTTCATTTAAAAAAATAAATTGTTTTTGGAATGTTCATTCAGCTTTCTAATAGTTAATGGAGTGAAATCGATAATCACTTTTAATCTTAGTGAAAATGAAAATTGAAGAAGGATGGAAAATGTTTCTTGAACAAATAAAATTCTAACTGTGTAGGTAGTGTTCTTTGGGAAAGATCTCACTTATTATAAGATGCGTGTGCATCTTGAGATTGAATGTAGAATTCAATACATCGGCAAGGATTTTCATATAAAATGTATTGAAATAATAATTGAAATTGATCATAATGAAATAAATTCTTTGCCAAACTGTTTTTCCGTATTTCAATATGAATATTCCAATGAAATTCTGCTGGTGCACGACCAGCTTTTCTTGTCCTTTGTCTCAAGTTTGACCATTTCGATTGAAAACAGAAGATTGGCTAATCACAGCAGTCATTCAGAAAAGGTTGATAACTGCCTTTTAGGACATAAAGATAACTACTAGTGGAAAATTCTAATTCAAATTTGAAACATGATACAAAAAACTAGTAAAATGTGAGAATCATCTCAAAATCATTATGAATTCCCACTAAAGGGTAAGATGAATAACATCATTCAAATAATGCAAAAATGTTAAAACAAATCATATTGTGATGTACAGTTTGATAAGCAAATAAAACTGTAAGAAAAAAGTTGACAAATGACAAACCTAAAGTCTGTTGGTATAATCTACAGTACATCCTTGAACTTGATCACCTCAATTCCTCACCATGTTCTAAAACTGAAAAAGTCCCACTAGGAAATTTACTTGAAGTCACTCTCTAGAAAGTGAGCAGAAAGTGGAATAGAAGTCAATTTATTCTGTTTGCTGTACCCATCAACATATACTCTGCTAGCACCTCTGCCCTGTCAACAACAGGTTAGGTATCTTTATCTCTTTCTGGGCTTTCCTGGGGAGAACTGAAGCTTCCCAATACAAAAAGCCTCATATGCTTTTTCAGTGGTCCCAACCATCTTTGCACTCGTGACCCATCTGTTGTCCTAACCAACCCCTTTCCCCTCATGTGTAAGGAGTGGTCAATGTGCACACTACTAAAATTAACCGTTGAACTTATTTTACTGAAATGTTTTTTGTGTTCTGTGCATAATGAACATAGTTTTAAAGTTCCAGTATCAGCCTCCTATCATGAGCAATGTTTTCCCAGAAAGACTTTCTTTTAAGCTGCTTAATCTGCACCAAGGGACCAATGACTCCTCCTTGCCTCAACCCCAGAGAGGAAGCGTAATGGTCAATACCAAGGGAACAACTGCTAACAGTGCTGTACTCCCCCGGGTTGAGGGAGCCAGGATACTGACTACATAGTGACTTTCCATTCAACCTATCTTTACAGAGATCCAAGACACATCTCACTCTTCAGATCTCCTCTTAACTGTGCTCCACCAAACTTTGCAAGCTGACATGATCTCTCTTGAATGGGGAAATCCACCAATCACAGAAAGTCCAGTGCGAACAAAGAACTCACTAAGGGAGATTAAGTCATCTCATTGGTGAACCCCCTTAAATGCATATGAAGAAATGGCAGGGGCATCCCTAGGGTTGGTGTCACATGGTGCGATAACACTTGGTGACACAAATTCTGATGATCCATGCAGAATGGATTCTGATCCATTATGCTCCCCAATCCGCAGATCCATTCTGCGGGGATTGTCGGTTTTCTTTACAACTTACCTTTTCGTGAAGCGGATCCAGTGTCACCCCGTATTGGGTATTTAAGGGAGCTTCAGACAGGAAATGGACGTCTTGAGAACGCCCGATGGGAGGG